AACAAAACCAACTTCTACACCTTATTTCATTGAGTTCCACAAATTAATTGAGAATTAAGCCTCTCATTTAAACCATTTGAGGGGTTAAACCCTTTGAGACTTGTAGCCATGCCTTCTTACTGTAGTTGCAGCCAGAATAAGGACAATCTTACTCAGTGCCTTAGAAGAAACGAGAAAACACAATATTGTAAGCATCTCCTTCAGAGCACAGTGGGGAATCTAGGCCACATTCCAGGATTTGTTATTTCTGTAAAGCAGGCTTGCAGGTCATTGTCTCACGCATCCTCCACAAATTGCAGCCCTCCAAAGATTTCATTTTTGTTTAACCCTGATCACGTTAGTGATCTGGCTTCAAGAGTGTTCCCAGAAAAATATCCTCAATGGAAAATGAAGGCAGTGGTGAAAGGCAGTGGTGGGAACTCGCAGCATGCTGGGGGTGGGGGCACAGCAACATTTCATAAGCTAGTTTCCTAAACTATTTGAGTTACCACATCAACAGAACAGGAATTTGTGGAAAAAAATCAGTCCAAGCCAACATAAGATACTTCTGTGATAGTTCTGATTAATCTGGTCGCTCTGGAAATAACTTTAAAGCACCAAGGATAACACAGCATAACACAAACTACTTCATGTAAGCTTTTGATAGCTCACAGCTCGTTTGTGAAGCCATATAACTTCATGTTCGAGGTGAACTTATCAGGGATTGTTCTGCCATAACAAATGGCATGTGGAGGTTGACTCTGAGCTTGATTATTCAAAGCGTGAAAGGTTTTTATTGCAATACCATTAAAGATATCAACAGTAAATATTAAAAGACACTAACACCAGCATTAGCTAAGCAGAAGGGCCCACTGACAACTCAAGGACTACAACCTGTGCACTGTGAAACAGAACGTGGGGGTACCAAATGAAAGTTTCCAATTTATCACTTGCAGAAATTCCCTCCGAAGAGGTTCTTCTAGAACTAAACCTGGAGCCTCACCATCACTCCTGCAATTACAAAAATTAACACTGGGCTATACAGTTATAGTACCACAGTCCCACTCTATCCTTTTCTCCCACACAACTGATTTTCCTCTACATTTTTGTCTAACTGTCCTTTCTGCCTTACCTCTCTGCTCAACCTTCAGTCCAACAACACTGCACAGAGGACAGCTTACCCGACTCTTGCTGAGGAGTGACAAGGAGAGGTACCAACACACCAGCCAAATGAGGGAGCCAGCTCCAGCCCCAGACACCACTCACTTCTCAAGTACAAGCCCAAAGCATTCATCCACAAATGATGATAGCTGCTATCACAGCCTTAACGCTTTCACTTTGGGCTGGTTCGTTTTTCCTGAACAGAATACTAATTAACTCAATCATAAACCAGCAAGAAATATCTTCAGCAAAGGAACTAAGCCTGATGAAGTCTCGTTTCTCAAGATCCTGGAGCACAATTAATGGTTCTGCGTCACGGTTGCACCTTGTTCTTTAAGGCATTTTATTTCATCAAAACTAACCCACCACTGCCTTACACTCAGCTGCAAATAGTTGAGGGGAAGAGAAAGTCTCTAGATTGCTACCAACAGATGAGAAAGAAATGGGTTTGTTTTTAAATATGCCAGCTCTGGTCCTGCATATCTCCCCAAACCAGAGCGTCCATAAAGAATTCTAACTTTGCTTTTCAGCAGTGTCCAACCTCCTAATCCCTGTATTGATGTTTCCTGCCTAGAGGATCTAGGCGTAATCTCATTTTCAACTGCAGCATCTAATATGTTCCCTAATTTCATTCTTTTTCTTGTATGGAAAAAAGTTACATTTAACAATAAGTGAGTGCATCAAAGAGATCGGTTTGGTTTTGAGAAATGGAACACCAAGATAAAATGAAACACCACCATGAGACTGTACTAAAGTGGCTAATTTCCTTTGTCCCAACACAATGACCTGAAATAAATATCCATTTTCTCTAGACAAAGAAAGCACCATTAGAGAATCTTAGAAAATCCAGAAGTGGAAGGGACCCACAAGAATCATGGAGCCCAACTCCAACCATTTCAAATTTATTTTGAAGTAGCTGTTCTTTAAAAAAAGAAGACATCTGCAGCTTCTGACAGTAAGATACCTATAAGACATTATGAAGTTTCACAAGATCCTCTACCAAGATATCTTCATAAGTACATTTTTGAGGCAATGCAACACTTATCTGAGCAAATGAAATATCTCCATGTCATTTGAAGAGAGGAAAATCATGTTTTCTGTATTATCTACTTTTTCACTGAAGCAGAAAAGGCATGAATCTAATGTCCAGTATACAGCAAAACTGGTAAATAGCACATTATGTAACAGGGAATAAGATTTGATGGCTTCCAACATTCTCCAATAATATTAAAATAAAAAAATGGAGGAAAAACAACTTGCCATGCAAATTCACTTCACTTTCTAATTTGTAGAGGTGAGCATCAAAGTTCTGAACCTGACTTAACACAAGCTTGAACTTTTGGCTGCTTTCTGAACAACTTAAAACCTCAGGAGAGCAGGCATTTTCACGAGCTAACATCTGGGGCAGTGGTTGTGGGAAGAGAACAAAAAAGAAAAATAACCTCTTTTATTGTCACAGCTATGGATCTCCAAGCCTGGATGCTGTCTAGAAGAGAAACTGAACACTGGAATGAACATAGTTAAAAAGGAAAAAGAGTATTTTAAAAACTTTTAATGTCTGTTTAGTGAGGTCTGGCCAGAAAACAAGAATTCCACAAACCAAAAAGCATTGTGGTTTCTGCAATTTTTTTCCTGCATTCAAACACAAAATGAAAACTTTCAAAGTAAATTTTATAAAACATCACAATTAAAGAAGCCAAACGTAACTCAGCAGCTACTACCCAGCAGTAGGGCACTCATCTTACAGACTCATTTCCTTGTTGCAAATCTAGAAATGCAGAAATTTGAATCCATGTCCACGGTAAAATAAATAAATAAATAAATAAATAAATATTTAAAAAATACAAAAATAGTGCTAGGTAATGTGGAAACATATTTTAAAATTGTCTCTTTACAGTCTTCAGAAACTGAGCCTCAATTCATTTCCATTTTATTTCTTCCAGTCTATATAGTACATGAGTAACTCAAGCTCTTATAGGGATTCAAAACATTCCCAACTACAACAACATTACAACTCCGGTCTGCTTACACTTATGTCTATTTGAGAAGCACTACATATGCATCTTTGAGGGTATGCAACTTTTGGAACCCTAATTAGTTCCCTGACAAAGGTTTTGGTAGAAAACTGTGTTTTAATTAAGTTTGGGACTATTTGGGGGTAAAGGTCTTCCTCAAAATTTTTTAATGCATCAGAAATGTTGACTTCTTTAAATTGGTCAGTCGTCTGCTGCTGTTTTTCTGATTTTACTTTGGTTGGAACTGCTACCAGCTCCCTTGCTAGAGTTTCTTCTCAAGTTAGAAGAGGTTATGGTATTCTCCTTTCTTGCGTCTAGTGAGGGTCCATTCAAGCCACACCTATTCTTTAGGTATCTCTTTGGGAAAATACTGCAATTGAAGTACCCACCTGCCAATACATTTCTAGGTCATTCCACTTCCAAAACATACCACCAAACAAGCATTACTTAACCAGGTACATTACATTTTTCCTTCTTCTACATGTGATGTCACTAACTTCCTTTTTAGAAGGCTGCAGAAGAACTAACATTACACAAGACTCTTCTTGTAGCCAGGTAGTTCAGCTTTTGTATGTCAACAACTGAAGGTTGCAAATGAACATTCTAGGAAACTTCCTACTTCCAGCTAGAGAAAAGCTTATTTCAAAGAAAATATTTTGCTTTGACTTCCTGGCATTTGTCATCGTCAGCTTAGCATACTTGATGGCTTCTCCAGTTACCTTGTGTGGAGCAGGAGAGCCAAGAGGCAGATTAATTTGAATGAAAGCTTGCACGGAAGATATTGGTTCACAACAATAATGAAAACACCTCCAACCATATGGAAAACACCTCCAACCATATGGAAAAAATAGAAGCTTAAGCACAGACCTCCAGGACCCACAGCACATCTCTGGTAGAAGGATCAGAAATCCAATCCTCTAGCCTAATACCCAGCACAGGGCTTTCTCTACTAGACTGCTTAGCCCCGCTGCTTGACTCACGGATCAATACTGTGTTCTATAGCCACATTTTCTAAGCAAGTTCTAGTAAAACAGCACATATGTCCAACTGCAAAGTCTGTTTCATCTCCTAATCACTTTCATCCATTTCTTTCACATATTGCTCTCCACTGGTTTTTGTACTGAAGTCATATCCATGAAAAGGCGTTGCTAAATATTACAAAATTGAAGGGAGCAGCAAACAACTTAGCTTATAAAACAAACAGGACAGAAGAGTTGGTATACACAGAGCTCCTGAGGTAAGCTTATAGTTTGGAAAGTACTGGCAGCCAAGGTTAAGTAAATACTGTTAGTGGAGAAAAACAGTTTTTGGAGAAACAAGCAGAAAAGTAAATAATGAAATGCCAAATTTTGGAAGTTTAAGTCTTAGTAACAGTTACTACTTTTCTAATAAAATCCTTATGTGATGTGAGGCAGGAGTCAACACTATGCTTGACCAACACATTGCCATTCTTGAAAAGAAAGTCAAGGACAAAGTACCTTCTGACCATTTAGGAAGACATAGCAAGTTAGTTTCAAACCATGTTACCAGCTTGGCAGTTGGAATCTGTCTCCATACTTAGTAATTACTAACCATACAACCAATTCTCAGAGCAACAAAAACAGTACTTTCTTACATTAAAAGCATATAAACCATTCTATGATGAACATCGACTTAACATGACCAAAAGTATATGCAATAACAAATGGCATTCTCCCAACAATATGGTGCATGTAGCTTTTCAGAAAAGAATACATGAGAACTATGCCACCCTTAAAACTGTTTCTGCAGTCTCAGCTGCAGGTGTATCATGTGTTGGCATCCCTCCGTGCATGACACCCCCCCAAGTATATGTTTTCAGCTTACCTTGATGACATGATCATTTTAAGACGTTCCAATTCCATCAGGTCATAGGCTTGAACAACGTGGAACAGGGGTAATTCTATCATGGTCTCAGCAGTAAAGCTAAAAAAAAAGTTAAAAACTCTTCAGAAGTCATTTTTAGCACACAGCATCTTACATAAAAAGACAAGTTCAACACTTCCCATGTAATCACAAAAATTGAAACAATACAACTCTGCAATTGTAACTTTTAACTTTTGACCATAATTACGTAGAATGTTAATGTTCTCATTATATGAATTCAAATGAATGGGGAGAAGCAGTACCAGCCCACTAGGAATGCTATATAACCACAGTGTCCCACCTTTTTAAGTTTTCTTGTTCCACCTTCAATCAGATGGACTTAGAAAACTTCAGCAGATAGTACACCACCAATTCACACTAACTCCCCAAATAATATGATATTTTCTAATGACGAGAACTTAAGTAAAACAGGTTAAAAAAAACTTCAGGAACTCATGAGCAAGTCTGAAGAGCTGTCAGCAAGCTTTCTTGTACAATACCACCTGCAAGAGCAGCAGCTCAGATGCACTAATCCCTCCGCTGCATCATTTAGTACAGAAGACTAATATATTACATACACAACATGTTTTGAAAGTTCTGCAGTAGATACAGCATTGCCGAAAGGTGTACTATATGTCACACAGAAATAGAAAGGCCTTTATTACTACAAAGAAGTGTTGAGGATTATATAAAGCCAAACAGTGAAAGAACCTACATACTACTTCCTTTTGATATCCGAACATACAAGAACAGCAGATTAGGTCACTTCTTGAGCATAGGCATCTCCAAGCAAAGAGGCTAATCTGGTACAAAGGACTCCCATAACTAAGCTTCAGCTGTGTTTTGAGAAAAGATTACTTAAAAGGAATATAAAATCAACATGACATTTGTCAGTCAGTATACCGATTCATATAGCAGCACGCTGTCATAAAAGTCTTATTACATAGCTTTTGTTACAATCGTTCTCCAGCATGAAATTAGGTGAGTTTACCAGAAAACATTTACCTTTTTACTGAACTTTTATAATTATACATCTAGAGCAAAGAAACAGACCGCTGCCATTAATGCTGTGCGCTTCCTCAGAGATCAGACTGGGGACAAGGCCGTCAGGGAGATTTGCTGATGCATGAGGATTACTAGGCCAAGATAGCTGTTTTACTAATCTTTGCCTATTAAGTAGATCAGAACAAAGCTCTTTTTCTCATTCTTCAAAAAGCAACAAAAGGATGAATTCCCACTGCAGATTTCACAATCCAGAACAGAAGCCTCTTGGTTCCTGCCCTTTGGAGAAGCTTCAAAGGGACAAGGACCGCACAGACTGCCCTGCGATATTTGGGCCGTAGCCACTTGTAAACAACAGGAGATGAATTCCAAGTGCAACAGATCAGTTTCTTAGCCCAGGTCCTAATCCCAATTCCTCATCTATTAAAGGTAACCTCATCTATACATAACTTGCTAATTAGAAAGAAACAAGGGGCTTTTTCTGTGGGTAGGAGTTGGATAAGAAAAAAAAAAAAAAAAAGCTACTCAGTCTGTCTCAAAAAATAAGTCTCTTGGCTCATTGCAACAGAAAATAATTGAAGTGGTCATAAAAAATACAAGTAAAGTTTTATACAGTCACAGAGTTCTCCAGCTAAATTTGATGGGCAGTTGAGCCAAGGCTAATTTATGACCAAATCCAAGAGTAGGCCCTCACTCCGGGCTATAGTTTGGAGCCTGGATTCCAGTGCTAAGCGCTCACCACTTTTGTGCATACAAATATACCTGAGGCCCTAGTTTTGGGCAAGATATTTGTTCAGAGCTCAAGCCATCACCTTAAACTTTCTGAAGGATTTGGCCACCACAGCAGCATGGTGCAGTTTTGAGGAAAACGCTTGATGAAACAAACACACAGGTGGGCCCACGGCAAGCTGCATGGCACCTCACAAGACAGCTAGAGTTGCAGTGAGCAGCTGTACCTGAAATTATACCTACTAAAAGAGGAAAGAATGGCAACTCCATGAGGTATTGCAGTCACGCATCAACTCTATTTCCTTTGTCCTGAAGGGACGAAGGGAAAAGCGTGCCGCCTCCTGAAGCTGAGGTGATTTCACCGTATTCTGAACTTGGCTGTGCCTTTTTCTGTCCCTCCAGGGCAGCCCTGGCAGCCTCCCAGAGCCCACCCCGCGGTTTCCCGACCCCCAGCGCCGCAGGCAGGCTCCCGCTCCGCCCTGAGGCGCCCACAGCCCGCACCGCCCCTCTCTGCCATCCAGTACCCAGAGCCGGCCGCTTATTTTCGAGGCAGGAGCAGGGCTCGGCGAGAAAGTTTGGGGCTCCGCCATCTCGGCAGCTCCCGCTGAGGAGAGCCCCGCGGCGCCGCCGCATTCGCGCCCTTTCCTGAGGGGAGCGCCCGGCCCCAACTGCCGCCACCATTTCGCTTCTCCTCAGGCAGCTGTCCCTCAGGGCGACCGGGCTCCCTTCAACCAGCTCCCCCACCCCAGGAGTGGGCCGTGACCGAACCAAGGTACCTGTAAGCGGTATGCTATAGTTAAGTGAAAATAATAATGTTGAACTCAGTGCTATTTTGCTTCTCCCCACTGCTCTGGCACAGCAGCACACCATGGATGTGTGCCTGTTATAGTGCCCACTAACCCCAGCAGGTTGACTCCAAGTGTTTGTGTCCTGCAGGACTGCCCTTCTGGGATAACAAGGCCTGTGCATCAGCTCTGAGCTAAGGTAAGATCAGCAGAAAGCTAAATGCTCATTTAAGTCTCAGAGTTGATGGAAAGATAGTCACCCAGCAGACACCCAAGGAAGGACAGCCTCCAAGGACCTCACACTGACAGAAATTTACTTGTATACAAGTGAATTTTAGCCAGTTCAGAGGCATGTGACAGGCTTTCCCCCATCCTCTGAAGCTGCCTTAGGTGAGGAAGGTCCCATACATGACAACTAAAAGACTGCAGTTCTTCAATTTTGAGTATTTTAACAGATCTTTGTGTAAACAGCATCTGGGTCCTCCCTCCCACCAGCTGTAAAGAGCAAGAGATGGGAAGAAAGAAGAGGATGACAAGTTCAAATCCAGGTCCTAGAGTTGTTTTCTTAACCAGTCCTGTCTAACCAGGTGCCATACATAACTAAAAGTCAATGACCATCATCCATTTAAATACCTGGAAAATAACACACCTAAATCAGATGCCTTTTTGTCAGCATACAGAAAAACTGAAGAACTATAGGGGTGACTTCTTTCTCGTCCATGCCTGCAGGCCTGCCTTGGGTTTCAGCTGTAAGAGTGTCTGCTCAGTAGCATTTAGTGCTGAGGTCAAGATGATAAATAGCCACTCAGTACTGGAAATCCATCAGTAACAGTAGTCCAATTGTCTAATTTGGTAAGCTTCTGGTCAAACATCAGCAAAACTAGAATGACTGTTTTCCCCTTACTAATCAGATTTCTCAAATGGTTTTATGCTGTAAAACACCATTAGTACCATTTTTCAGAAAAATGTTTTTACTAATTGAGTCATAATCAAGCAATCAGTAAAGCATAATCCATTATTTAGAAAATTGGAAAATTACTTATGTCTTTCTATGCAAACAATTTGAATTAAGGTGGTCTTCACACTTGCTGTTTGCATTGTCTTGTCTCAAAGTATATTTTGTGCTACAATATTACAAGTCTTGGCCTCAAAGAGTAAGTGCTGCAAGAGAAATTAACTTTATATTCACTCTTACACAAGTACCTTCTAATATGGTTACTCTTTAGACAAACCTTTAGGAAAGCCTGCAGCCACCAGAACTGTGCCTACACACAAGCTATGAGAACATAGGCTTAGTTCCATGCTCCGAGAGCACCATTTCCATGCTGCACATGAATAATCCTTTTCACAAGGGCGTATAACATTGAGTATAGCTTGAGCTGGCAATACTTCCAATTCAATTAAAGAAAATAAAACCTCACTTGCTGAGCTCACTTTCTGAGTGGCATCTACCCTGACAGCTTGTCGTCTGTTCATAAACTAGAGAAAAGTTTTGCTCTCGCCTGCCTCAATACGAAATGCCTTGTCTAAAGAGGAAGGAGCAGAAGCTCTGGTTGTGGTCTGTAGTTATGCACCCTCATTCAAGAGCGCATGGCTTACCATTTTTATTAATCTATATTGTGAAGTTTTCTGAGTGCTGGAAAGTTTCATACAGTAAGTGTAATTATTAAGCTATTCTGAAGTTGCTTAGAAGTTATGTTCAGTTGATAAGACCTATTATGTATCAGGGGTTAGAAAAAAAAATTAAGTCTCCTTAGCTCACTGCAGTATAAGAAAGAAAGGAATGCCAAGTTATAACAGATACATAATGTAGTTCGTCCCTTTTTTTATAGGCTGTGCAGCATATTGAAAAGCTTGACTCTTCTGAAATAGATGCCTTCTGTTTTTGTCTAGACTTTCAGCTGAATGATTTAAGTTTGTACAGTTACACTCTCAATCACATTCACAAGAAACAAGCAAGTCTGTACAGTTTGCCCAGTGTTGGAAAAGCAATCAAGGCATGCTTGTTGTTGTAGAGTTCTCTAAGACAGGCTAGAACTTGAGTATTTAGCCAGAGCTCACCACCTTTTACTTCCTTTGTGTTGCACAGAGTCTAACATGGGAATAGATTATGAAATAAGTGTTTGGAGGTTAGTCAAGCGAAGGACTGCTGGTTACTACACTGTCGAATGATAGAGTCTATTGTAGGAAAGAAAAGTTATTTCCAGTTCTCCATTTTAGTGTCCCTGCAGAACAGCTATGTACAGTAAATCTTCAGTGACACAGCAGCTATTTCTTGTGATCCTGGCAACACAATAAGGCATGAAAAACTCAGCTAGATAAATGAGATAGCACATCCTTAAGTAAAAGTTGCCAGCTGAAGCCTGTCAGCAGGCTGGGCAGATTGCTCTAGTCCCATCAGATAGGCAGAAAGATAACCTGCAGGCTCCCTGCTTTTAGGTGGTCATTGCTATCTCACCAGGAATGGAGGAATGCATACCCTTATTGTTCCTACAACCACTGAATGGCAGAAGGAACATGCAATTCCAGAAGCTTCATCTTAAATCCTTTGTAATTCCCTTATGGCTCATCAAACCTCTTTCATAAATCTCAGCAGAACAGCAGTAACTGCAAGGACTAAGACCGAGACAGAATCGCAGAGAAAAATGGACAATGCACACTGCGGAGAAGGCTCACCAGCACCATGATCAGATGGATATTCCTTACTGCTTTTCCATACTGAAGTGCTAGGTCAAGTGTTAAGTGTTAGTGCCAAACGCCAGGTCAACTTCGCAAATTGTTGCTAAGATGTGGGTAAAGTCAGTCTTTGCGTTTTTATCAGTATTTTTATCTCTTCTTAGGCTGATGCACACCATGAACTCTCTTCTACAGAGTTTTTGTACTCTCTTCTCTCTTCCTTTGCCAGCCTAGGAAAAACAGTCAAATTAAAGCTAAACAATGGTTCTCTTGTCATCTGCAAATATTAACAGGAACAAAAACACTAGTGAGGGCGAAGAGTTGTTTAAGCTAAAGGGCAATTTTGTTATGAGATCAAGTGGCTATAAACCAAGAATAAATGTAGGTTAGAGATTAGAAGGCTGGGAAAGTGTTCCTGAGCAAGACCTCATATCTCAGTTAATGACTGAGATAGGAAAAAAAGAAAAGAAACAAGGTTTTAGCAAGTTAAACCTCAAGTTTTAAAGGAACACATCTTATTTTCTCCACACTCACAGAATAATTAAATTTAATTTGGTTCTACCATCAGTTGTAGCGTACTAACTTCAGGGCAGACCAATATGCTTGCTGCTCTAAACTCAATTTATGAGCCACTTACTTCATATTTCTGCTGCTCTGAGAACTGAGGCTATTCCTCAGCTAAAGAGAGTCAGTCATTGCAAGTCTAGAATCCCAGAGACTGCATCTCTGCCATTTCAGGGCATGAGCTGCGAGGTAATCCCAGTGGAATATGAAGACTCCTGCGAGGACAAGAAATAGCTTATTTTGCTAGTAACACTAATATAGAAAAGGACAAGCATACGTATGTGCAAACATACATATGTGCTGATGGAAAGCTTCATTCCATGAAGTTCTTCAGACGCTGCTCTGGATTTTGTGCTTTAGTGTTCCTAAAGGCAGGGAAGGACAGTGCTTTATCTTACCTTCTTCTCCCATCATCACATTAGCACTGAGGTTAGTATAGCAGTGTATCCTGGACAGGTAATAGTACTGTTACCTGAACATCACAGATGGGCTAAGCCTGAACAGAAGTCACTGTGGTTGACAAAAGGTACTCCTGGGAATATTTGGATACTTCAGGAAAAGGGTGGAGCAAGCATAGTCTGAGAATGGGTGAAATCTGTCATGCAGTAAAGAATCTTTTTGTACAGGAAAGTGTAGTACAGGCACTCAGAACAAACCTACCAGCCTCCTAGAGGCAACTTGGTGCTCAAGCAAAACATGAGGGTGCTTAGAGCTGCCTCCTGCTCTACCAGAAACCAGGCTAGTTTCACATTTCTGACTTACCTCATGATTTCTTAGGAAAGAAGCAAGCTCCGTAAGTGAAAGACAGGAGGTTATAAATCTACGTTCACTGCAAGCTTGCAGTTAATACAATCTTCATCCCCTCCCTTTGTTGGGAAAAAACACTCCTCACCCCTCAACACAGAGGTAATGAGATGAAGAAAACAAACACTACACAACTACACAGAAACGGAGCCCTGCTTTCCCCTCCACACCCTACATAACCATCATTTAGTTCCAGGTTGTAGGCAGCAGCAGAATTGGGAGTTATCCTCACTTGGCAGAAGCACATTCCCTGCTGGCCACATTCTGACTGTAGTCCACTGACAATAGGCTCAGGAGCTCTCATCTGGGCTAAGATACTGAAAAGATAGGCTGCTTTTGTAAAAGGTAGAGCAGAATTTGTCTTCCACCTTCCTTTAGCTCTTTGATTTAATACCTTTAATTCAATGACATTAGTAATTATATCCCCACCTTGTTAACCATACAGGTGTCAGACATTCACTCTTCCCAAGCCCGAAGTACTACCAGCTCCAGGACTGTGAGTTTTGCCTCTCATCCAGCTCTCGTTATGGTACTCACACTCCTAAATGCATCACAAACATGTATTTTGGAAGAGTGGTAGTTTTACCCCGCCAAGTGTAAAGAAGACATAATCCTGCTGGCTTGGAATATCCCGGCTCCATTTTCAATTCACTGCTCTTAGTGTTCAGCTATAAAATTATTTTTTTCCTATTAATCAGACTGCAGAAAGACGTCTAGATTTACTTCACTCATACACAACACTTTGTCCTGCAGGTGTCCTTCTAGGGAAGAAATAAAAAGACACAGACACGCTTGAAGTGCTCTGAAGAATTAACTGCCACGAACAGAAGTCCATGCTGTGGGTAAGGCTTTTTCTTTAAGGAGAGCAGAAGCAGCCAGGAGGGGGCACCACTGCTGGTAGCTCACGGATCTGTGACAGCCTTCATGCCGCTCTGAACTAGCTTGCGCGTCTCGTGTTGCCGAAGAGGAGCTGCTCCTCCAGGCTGTAACCACCAGCTAGCTATTTGCTTGCCATATCTTTTATGCAGGGCAACCAAATAACACTTCAGTAAAAGCTCTGCATATGCACCATTTGTCTCTGCATATCCCTGCCTGCACTGCAGAACAGGAGTACAGCTCTGAGATCATTGTGACGTGCTGAGAAAAAAAGGACATTCCCCGTGCCTTTTTTTTTTTTTTTTTTTAAATGGAAAACGAAGCTGGGTAGGAGCCTTTCCCCGTATACTTGCAACCCTTGCTGCTTACTTCTAGCTGCAAAGGGCTACTGCAACAGCTCCTGGTTGAAGGGCACAGGAATGCAGGGTGATTCTAGCTGGACTGCTTTTTCATGAGCTGCAATTACTGTGTGAGTCTTGCTGAAGTCCTCTCGTAGAAACAAAAGGAAGACAAGCTCTGGCTGCATGAGAAGAGTAGGTGACAGCAAGAGGAATCCTGCCTCCCCATGCAACACAAGTAGTATTGTTATTGGTACAGAGAAAAAGGGAAAGCAAAGCAGACTGATCATTTGGCAGTCATCAGAGGTAATAGCCTGCAAGTTGTCAAATGGGGTCCAATTCTAGAAACAGATTACTTCAAAGTAACTTTATACAAGACCACATACAATATTCTCAGGGAGAGAGAAGACAGGAGCTTCTTTCTTCTCTCTTCTGAGCTGTCTACAACAGCACAGTCAAACCTTGGACTTTATACAGGTTATCTATAGCACCATTTCAAGACCACTGTGGCAGGCCAGTGTTTCTGCTCAGTAGTTACACCTTGTTTATGTGTAATATCTGCATTCTTGACTAGTCAGATTAATTGTCTCCAGTATGTACTCCAGAAAGGAAAATCTGCCCACAATAAAGGCTTTCTGTTAGCACAGTGTTGCTAGTAAATGGTGCAGATATCTGTTCTCATAACCTCAGAAGATTTAGGAACTGATCCTCTAGAGAGCATCACTGCATGAGAGAAGTACTTCCAACATTTAATCAGTTGTCTCTAAGATAGTCCCTTCACATGAAGATAAAAATCTCATTTACCCTGAAAGACTCATAAGAATGCATAGTCTCTGGAACTCCTAGAGAGATGGTGCTGAGGAGGGCTGGTCAGTAAGACGCTATCTCCTTGCCCAAAAGCAGTCTTATTAGTAGACTGCAAACATTGAGCAAGGGAAGGGTAAAGAGAACAGGTACTTTGTTTACAGTAGTCAGCAAATCTCACCAAAGCTTTCAAGACTTAGTATCTTCACAATCAAGACTACCCAGGAGCCGTGCACTGGCACTGAGATTAAGTGACCAGTTTTACAAGTTAAAAGGCTCAAAGATAATAATAACAAATCAAAATAACAAGTAACTGCAGCAGAGTATTAGGACTGCTATCTACCAGAGAAAGGCTAATCCAAATCCCAAACCACGCTACCCACAGGCCTTCCAAACACCAGAGAAGCTAATGCAGTGAGAAGTGGGGTTTGTTTTCTCAAGGAACAGCAATGGAGACAGTTCTTTGCAAGCTCCAGACCACAACCAGTACTTCCAAAGACAAAGCAGCAGAATACGCTCACCAGTTGAAAGCAGATGGAGCTACTACGCTGCTAGCATACTGCTCCCAAGAATCTCGGTACCAGGGCAGAAACAGCTACGTGAGACTCCATTTTAACCAAGACAAAAGCCCCTACCTGGTACACTGTAGTTAACCCAAGGCAGAAACTCCAAGAACGCAGCCAAAACCTTGAGAAAAGGAGGCTCTTCCTCCCTCAGGTGCTATTAATACTCATTAGAAGCTCTGCAGATGTGACTGGCTGTCACTTCTGGCCACATTGCTAATGTAAAAGGTGTGAGCACACCTGCACGTGGGAGTGAGGCTCAGTAATACCAATCTGTGGCCAGGGAGGCAGGTAGTGATGTTAGGTGTTCTTCAGGTTATTCTCTTGTTTCTTTGTTAACACAGGTGAAAGGAAGACCAGGCAGATTACAATAATATGTGTTCTAGTCTGAGAAACAGGTAAAAGCATCAGGTTCCCATAGCTTGATGCACCAGCGTGTTTGCTCCTGCTAGTTTGCAGTTACAGATGCTGTCCCCTGGCAGAAGGAATTCTGCGCTACCTGTGGTGCCCCCACGTACCCTCTCTGGGTACTCAGGACTCGTTTCTGGATCACTGATAATAACCTAGCGATGAGTTTTGTTACCTTCATGGTCCAAAACGTCCGGAGTAGCTGGGAGCTACAGCCAAGCAGTATGCCAAGGGCAACCTGAAGGCCAGACTGTAAAAGCCTTTGTCTCAAAGTGTGTGTACACACAATGTGGAGAAGGTACTGGAGGGGAAACACTGAAGGCCCAAAAAGGGAAAATGTGAAGTAGAGGAGGATCTGTCTCTTACAGAATAGAATCCTTTTCTTAACATCACGCAGGCTGGGCAGAGAGCTAAATGTAATTAAGTCAAACTGGGGCACCCAGGCCCATAACAATGTTACGGAGTGGCAATCCTGAATCCATCTGTTCACATTTGATCATAGCAGTATGTTGAGCATGAGGCAAGTTCTGTTTAAATGATCTTTCATTAGAAATGTACCAATTCTGGGGAAAAAAAAAGCTTCTTCCTGAAAGCACATGTTCAGTTTGAAACTGCATGGAGGTTTCAGCGAGCACACAAATACCACATTTTAAAATGAGGAAGAATAAGCGACATAAAATTACATAATTCCAGTCGTGAACAAGAAATTGCACAAACTCCCAGAGCTCCTATTCCTACTGCATGTCCTGAGAAGCATGAAGTCAGCATATTGAGCACATCCACGTTCTCTCAGAATTCAGTAGGCTCTCAGAAGTATCTAAAAGCTGCTGAAGATAAGTCATACCTGCAGAGATAGGACATGCAGATGTCACTTTCCCAGTGACAGTAACAGAAGTGGTGTCTATTCACACCATTTGTAACATTTATTAGAAAAAACAGCAACAACTGAAAAGCATGGGGATTTTCCCCACTGCTAAGCCTGGCTTATGTCTCATATTCCTGCTGACTGAAATAGAATTTGGATTTTTATATTGCTCTCCTGTTTGTTTTGCAGTGTTAAATCAAACAGTATGTAGAATCGTGCATTTGTGCTAGTAATCGAGTAATGCAACTCAAATGTAATTCTGCTGGCAGGAGGAGATCCATATGAGAAGAGCTCTAGCCTCTTCTCTTGGCTTAGCAGAGCTGCCTGAGCCTAGTTAAGGTTTCTTTTTAGCTTTATCTGTGGTACTTGAGTAACCTGTAGAGATTCCTGAGCCAGAAGCATGTTCATCCAAATTCCATTGTAATCCGGCGCCTCAGACCCACAGTATTGCACTTGGTGGAATTTCTGATTTCAAACTGAACACCAAGAGTTCCTTTAAAACTCCCAAATTAAACCCCAGCACGATGACATCTGAGGCTTTCTTCCTGAGGACTTCCACAACTTCTGAGAGCTCTGCTGTCTCCCAGGAATTTGCAGATGTCACAGGCCAGGTACCCTACTGCAGCAGGCTGGGGGTCTCTTTATGAGTGTTTGACACAAGCTTGTTTGATTATAGCAATGTCTAAAACAACTTGGGCATTTGAGTTTGAAGCAAGTTTAATTCTTTAGTTACAAAGGTGAGATCGATTTCTTGGCCTCTTTCGGTATCTGTGAGATACCCCATAAAGGAAGAGAAATGTCAGCATCAAGAGAAGATCAACTTTGCCAAGTATGTACACATTTTCCTCTAAACCTCTTACCTGTGGGACTATTGACTCTAAAAAGAAAATGTTTTTCTAATTTGCCTTCTCCGCTTCTTAGAAAGTCTGCCACTTTTTGCCCAATTTAAAGACATCATCAAGTTTCCCTAAAAATACTGACAGGCAAGTTGTAGTACCCAGGCTTCGTTGTGGAAATATGGTTAGTAACTGGAGTCTAATTAGATTTTGATACTTAAGCCTGGTGTGAGAAGGGTCAGGCTCTTAATCGTGTTAGACTTTGAAGAGATTACAGCAGTAACTTTTCCCTCCTCGCAGACTTTGCACTAAGAGCCACCTCTCTTTAACTGGATTGAACCACTACATGTAACTTGATAAAATGCTGGTACATTGTGCTCTATTAGCTATAAAATCACATACACAAATTTATTCATTTTGCAATGCCTGCAGCACTGAATTGCAGTGTGAAAAAGGGCACCCCACACATACTTCTACAAGAATAAACTCTTGGCATAATCACAGATGTCCAATTAGACAAACGCTGTGAATTCTAACAGGATTTGTTCTCTCTGCAGACTTCTCTGACAGAGGTGAACAAACACAGGAGTAAGACTGCTTCAATGTTCAGCCTCCCAGTGAGTTTTCTTTGACTTACCATCACTGCGTAGGTCAGAAATAATAGTTAAGGGCATCTGTGTCACTTCTACTGTCATTTTTGTTCTGAACTCATGCACAATGAGGGTTTCAGGAGAATGACCACTCCTGTTATCAAGGAAAAGCTAAAGCCAGGGGTGGAGGGATAATGCACAGGGATATTAAACCATGGAGGTTTTGTAGCCTAGAACTGATGAGTTAATGTTCTCCTTGCACACACCTGTCCTTCCACCTCCTTCCTAGCTAGTACTAGTCCTTACAGCTTAAGACACATTTCAAGTAATTAGATCTGTCTTCCACAGTTTTCAGCAGCATTTTTTAATATAAATTAAAAATTGGCATGTGCTTTAGAGCAGAGGTTGAACTTGGAATTCATCTCCCTGATTTTGCGTATAAGTTTACATCCATGGGATCAAGGAGCCTTCAGAATTAAAGACGACCTCTAACTCTTACTGAAATAACCCATTTTCTCCAAAGATGTTGTTCTGGGCTGCCGTTGTTCCCAGCAGCAGTTCCCAATGGCTCTTCCCAGTGTACAGACTATCCAGGAAGGCAGAAATAATACTGCACGAGGCAGCAGAAGATGCTGTTGTGGTTTAACATCAGAACCAGATTTAACCATATTAGGACGTAGCCATACTCACTTTCAAGACCATGTTTTGTATGCACAATATGCATTCTTAAGATGTACGGCCTGATTTTACGGAGCCTGAGCTCCCTCAGTTATGTGCGTTTTATGCCAGTTTCCATTCATTACTGACATAACAGCTAGCAGGCAGAAAAAAGTAGATGAAGGGCGTGTTCTGTCCCCAGGCGCGTGGAGTAAAACATGCCTGTTTAAAAAGAGATGTTTTTAAAAATCTAAGAAAATAAATACATTGTATTAACCATGCAGCACTCCGGAGACAACTTTACTGCTAAGCTGTGGTCACTGCAGGACACTGCACAGCTTTCGCTTAAGTGTGTTTAAAAACAGGGCATGAGAGCTAAACTGAATCCACCTAAGAGACGGGGTGGAGGCAGGAGAAAACGTAAAGCTCATCTGCTTTTCATTTTCAGTCTGTTCATTTTAGTTGGCTGGCCTGGCTGACCACTTCAATAAACTCTTCTGAGGTGAGAAATATCTCCATAAATGCAAGCAAGTTGTAGCAAATGGTAAAGAAGAGAGCCCAGCCAAGCACACTTTTATAAAAACCAGAGCTGAAGCCATTCTGACGAGGCGGGAGTTGTGCTAGTTTAAAGTCTATAAACAACAAACAGCGCAATGCTTCACCCCAGCACAGCTGGCCTCTGAGGAAGCTAATTGTACTTGTTCTTGAAAGAGAAAAGAGCAGATAAGCCACAAAGAGTTATATTGTGGGAACAGCTTGTATGGACTCTGGTGAAGGACATGAAAGGAACCAACTAAAAATACATTTGATCCTGATTGTAGCCAGCTTATTTTGATGGGGATAATTTACATATCTCATTTAGATAGTTAATGTTTTTGTGGCGATTTTTTTTAAACCTCAGCAATGTATTCTTTTTTTTTTTTTTTTTTTTTAAGTCTAATGGAAAGCAAATCAAGGTATTTAATCATACCCATAAATTTAAAAGCAGAATTAAATTTACTGTTACACTTAGGGAATTGTTTCAGATGTATAACAAGAAAATCCTATATATGTCACTATGCAAAGCAGGCACTTTTGCAAAGCACCCCATGGTCTGCTGGCTGATGGTTTTGCTTGTTGATAAACAAGGGAGAGGACTATGCTTCAGAGAGGGTCCGCACATCTTAGCGTTGAAAAAGGTATGTACAACAGCAGGATGTAAGCTGCAGTCCGTATAATAGATACGGATCCTCTTGTATTAAGTCACATGGCAACAAGTATTTGTTGGGAGAGCCTCACCTCAGCTCTTACGTTTCAGTTTGCCGGAGGGAAGAGCTTTTCTAAGGTAACACTTTTTGAAACGTCAGTGGTCTGGTTGGAAGGAAGAACTTGCCTTCACTCAGATTCACTGCCTTGACCTCCTGCAGAAGTGCCAAGGACAGCCCAGCCCTTACAAAAATACAAAGAAGCCTGCCAGCTGTGTAGCAGTACGTTCCCTACACCGACAGCCATCCTTCAGATCCCTCCAGTACCTTACTATATTTGAACCTTGGAGCTGACTGTACATCTGGAGGGGATGGACGATACTGTGTTCTGCTAGCAGCAGTATTTTATTGGCAGGGGAAGAAACTACAGCAAGAGGACACCTCCCAGCTTGGAGCTGGCAGGGAACAAATATGGTGAATTATCTACTGTGGGGCTTCTTAAAAAGAATCATTTTATGAAGACTGACTTTGTCAGACAATTAACTTTCATCTCACATCCAACACTGCAATTTAACA